CTGTCGTTTCTTCAACGGGACCGGATCAGACTCTCCTATGGGTACTGAGTTCCTAGTGCTCACGGCTCAGACTCAAATGTACCGGATCGAGGGAACACGCGGAGAGAATTAGGTTCGGTGAACATCTTTACATCTTCATCTTCCGCGATAGAACCGGGACCTCGCATGGTGCCCTCGAGGATTCGGTGGGGGTTGTCCCGAGCTGTTTTGGGTTAGTCTCATGAGAACAGGCATGATCTTTCCGAAACCGTTCAGGTCGACTGGCTTAGATGACTTTCGGCTATTGTATGTTCCCTCGTTAGGCGATTCTCCGGGATGAACCTCCGTCTACGACTGAAACTGTCGGACTCGATTGTCCATCGGAGGATAGACCGCTAGACTATGGCTGCTTATCTGGGGACGTAAATCTGTTCTTGCCGCGCGGGGTCGCCGAGTAAACCGACTTGCGGATGAACAAAGTGATTATTGATAGAATGTTATGTGAGACCTACTCCGGTTCAGTCAACGACCGAAAAGGGAATTGTAGCGACCGGACTTGTTCATAGTATTTTCATGAGCGTCGCAAGCTCCGTGTCATGGTGTCTGTCTTGCGGGTTGTCGACTTTGCACAAAGCATGGAGGTTCCCTGACCCGGGTTGCTCCCAGCTCGGTGAATAAATCGCCACATAAAGGAATATTGCGAAATTCGAGCTTAACATGCGACAAGAGCGGAGTGCACTGAGAATGTGACGTCAGTCACTATCGACCACTGAGGTGAAAGAAAGCGACCACTGAGGTGAAGACGACATTGTAGGGTAACCGATAGTTTCGAGAGGAGCTTCCAACCGTTGAATCGAGGATTGCGTCACCCCATAGATCGATTCATAGCCCATACCGACTGCGTAGAATTCCAAGAAAGACGCCTACGCTTACACTGTATGCGTCCTCTTCACATACTCGCGAAAGTTCAACGTATCTCGAAAAGATCCTCTCAGAGTGAGGACCCTTTCTCCTGCAGCTTTTAATCCCATTGTGGAGCGTGCCGATGAATTGTCGATCTGAGTCGTCCTAGAGGAGCGGCTAATCTCGACGAGGTCTGAGCGCTGGGCTTTCAAACTCTCCGAGTCCAATATGGACTCGAGTTTGCACGGGATATTTTTGGGACGGAGTTTGCTCATCCCACGGTTTTTTCCCGCGATGGAGACATCCGCTTGAATTGGGCAAAACTCGATATATGAATAAGGGCGCTCTCCGGAAGACCCGGTCGGACGAAATCGCTTTATCACATACAAAATGAGAAATCCTCTCGGAACTCGCGGATCCCGGCCGCTTCGTCGAAAAATCAGTACCCTGTCACGTAAATCGTTCCGAGGACACAACCTTTGACCCAATTCACTCTTTGCGACATTTTCCGCATTCTTCTGTATTTCCAGCGCAGGTTCCCCCTCCGCGTCGGTAGCATCGCCCACCGCATCGCGCTCAATCTTCGTTCAATGCACCGTTCCTCTGGAATGTTCGACCTCTTCCTCTCCGAGGGCCCGCTTGCCTATTCCGTGTCAAAGTTTGAGCGCGGCCATGTGGCTCCATTCAGTGGGAGTGACCCCGAGACGAGTAACTGGGCTCTTTTGCATCGGGTGAAAGCCTTATGAAATCAAGAAATTCCGCTGTTGACGCAATACCCCGGGGGAGATGATTTGGGATTCCGGCTCGCTAGCGGAGCTACGATTCTGATTCGGCACAGCACAAAAAACTTATCGCTTAGGCTGCTCAAAGTTTTGGGATTTCATCCGTCCATCGACGACTAATCAAATGCAAATATAGGCGAACTAAATATAGGCGGGGAAGTCCCGCATCACCTACCGGAAACCTTGGAACTGCGCTTGGAGGCCGCCAAGAACTTTGATGTAGATCGTAACCTTGGACCTAAAACTTGGGTTCAGAACTCTGCGTTGCTGAAAAGGGGTTCCGATTTGCCATGAATGCGTCTGTATATCGGGGTGATTGCGCGCCTAAGAAAGGAACCGGCGACGGAATGGGGTCGGCGAACCCACTTTCAGAGAAGACATCTTGCGCCCGATGAAATACGATAGTTCACCCGGACTCAGATTTTTCTTCGATGATGTCAAATTCTCCTATCAGACCGGCGTGGATAAGTGAACGTTGAGACTCCGAGTTGTAAAGGTCATTTCTCCGAAAACGGCGCTGACGGAAGATATGGTGTGGCCTGCCTATCGTGGCTAGTTTTGGAGCCCAATCCAAGAATTTCCGGTGCCTTCCTACCTGCCTGTCCTGCATTTTCCAGTGCCTGAACTTCCGAGCTTCGAGAAAGCCTCAGGGCGAACATTCCACAATCGAGCTATCGAATCCCCCCATCCTTGGCGTAGATTGGAGTGTCCCGACTCCCGATTCCCGACGTCTCGAACTCCGTCAAAGAAGGAAAAACAACGTCGCTAGAAAGCTATTTCCAATGGACAGTTCTTTCGTATCTCCCCTCTATTCTGAGCGGAGAACATCGTGCGTCGCTGAAAACATCGACTGCGGTGAACGAAGCCATTTCCATACGCGAGATCCCTGTTGAGCTTCCGACCCTATTTTCGGAACAGTCACTTGTCATTCCCTCCGAATGGAGAGCTTTCCTACATCTGAAATGCGATGCATCAACAGAGGTGTGTCAAGGCAAGCGTATACGACATATTGTACTCCTTCTGAGAAGCCGCAAAAGGAGCTAACTAGTCATGCTCTCGTGTCCAGATCGTGATTGCGGCCGCAGTTTCGATCTAGCCTGTTCCGCTGTGATGACGTAATCAAACACGGGTAGGAGCTGGGGTCGACCATACTTGGGTACTCTGATCATGACAGCAGCAACGATACAGGAGAGATGAGAGTTTCCCTTTGTTTCCATAGTCGATCTGTCCTTCCGGTCCCAACGCCTACTAAGGAGGAAATTCGGCGGCGACGGAGAAAGAGCCCGGAATACTCCGATCCATTCATGCGTGAATATCTTCTCGAAGGTGAGCTAGACGCGATCTAAAAATACGCTTTCACGCTTCCAGTCAAGAGCCGGAAAGATTTCCGCCAGTCATTTTTCTTCAGAGCTGAAAATAACGTTCGTCAGCAAATCCTGGCAAAATTGTGTCAGGGATTCCCAACCTGCAGCTAGACATACCGTCGGCGGTGATTCATGACCATCGGAGAGACGGTTCAGACGCCATGCGTCTGCCCACCGCCCCGGGTCGAATAAATTTCCTTCCCTCCGTTTATCTAGCTTGACTTTCTGATTGAATCTACTCCGACAGCCATAACTGAAGTATAGGTTGCTCGCACCCCAAAAAGATGTAGCACGACGGTGAGGCTGGGCGCGGACATGTCGATCAGCGATCTTCGATCGGCTCCCAATCACGCGAACGCTTGAGCGTCACTGAGTACGCTCGAGACTCGAGTAGGGTTCTCCCGGTTTCGGACTCGGAGAAGCGGGAGGGACTCTGTCTCCTTCGGAAACCGGCGCCCCGATCGCGAAACTATTTTCCAAAAGCAAGCCTACGCCTGCGCATCTTGATGAGGAGCTCGTCCGCTCCTCGGAATGTGCGGGACTCCGAAAATAGACGAGGATAATGTTCGAGGAATTCTGTTGCCCGGGACGGTATTTATATTGATAACAGCTAATGTATCCTCGCACATTTGTCGCATTGCTCGCCGTGCCGCATGGGAGGCTGCGGAAAAAGACAGGTTCCCCCAGCTCCGGTCATCCCCGTCATCAAATGGGAAGGCTGAGTGAGTGAGCCGAGGAAACCCCAACGGCATACGCCTCCGCTCTTATTTTGTGAGGAAGTCTTTGATCGCGTCATCTGTCTCGTGGACCATCCGACAACGACTTAGTCTTGTTTCACCTTTAAGCTAAACCAGACGTGATGACGCCGTAACGGAGATGGAGAGGATTGCACTAAGACGTGGATTAGAACAGCAGACATATGACGTGTTCGTCCATTGAGTGATCCAACTCGATCGAGCTCCGGTACTCGAGAGATAGTATCGATCTCCCTCAAGTCGTATACGGTTCACGCCTCTCAGGAACTCAGATATCCGGGCATGGTCACGTGGAAGACGCAACACACCTCTCTATGATGGTCAGCCCCCCGTGACGAATCCGCCCCGTGTGGATAATGGGAGAGACGTGTGTGGGCCACGATACATGCCCTTGTGATATCACGAAGAATATTTGGAGATGTGTGGCGAACAGCGTTTGTGCGATTATTCACATTCCTCTCGCGTTCTGAGTCGAATGGTCACCGGATCCCGTTGCCCCGTCGCCCAAGGCTCATCCTGCACACAGAGTATAGCCTCTACCAATATCAGCCCGATGTACCGGGCTTCGCCGGAGGAGCGGCACTCCCGCTCATGTATCGAGTCCGTCGAGTCGGGAGCATCTTGAGTCTCTCCACCACCCACTCCCGTTTGTGATCTACTGCGTGTACGTCTATCTCGCACTGCGCGCATCTGCCTTAGCTCGTCGACCGCCGCGTCCCTTCGAGTGAATCGAGTAAATTTTAACGGCTTCTTCACGGCAAGCCGATCAGCGCGCCGAGCCTTCCGGAAGCTGCTGAAAGGCTCTTGAGAAGCTCCGTGCGGATGACAAGGGCTTTTCAATTGACAGAGAAACCGGCATCATGCCTAGAAGACTTGGGGGGGGGGGTAATATAATTCCAATCTGCTTCACTCCTTCGAGAGGGTAGGGGTGAAGAAGTCCACGGGTCGAAGCCGGCCAAACCCGTTTTCCTTGACGCGGATTCGCCGTTGTCAATTCCAAGGCAAGGGGTCGGAAACCTCGATGCCCACAGCCAGAATGGCATTGCTGGTCCATTCTTCGAGCAAGAGCTCACCCCGATTCCTCGCTCAAGAGGAGCGCGAGAGTGAATCTAACTCTGAGCGTGCGATGGGCGCAATAGACTCCCCTGTGCCATGAACTCTCCGCAGCCGAGAAGGTAGTCCTCGATTGCGCGTGCCGTGTGATCAAGGATGCCGCGTCGGGGAACACGGTTTATTCAATCGATTCGGTGATTTCTGGCTATGAAAACTTAACATTCGATCACAATTCATTCAGGAAGACGCACGCCGGCGGTCGGCAATTTCGCTTGCCTGAAAGATCAATAATGAACTCGTAAGGAGTCCGGCTTACAGTTTATCGCCGACAGAGTATTTTACCGACAAAAAAAACAGCGCGTGTTCTCACCCTTCTCCAAGGTTCACTGGCGGTGCGACCTGTCTACGAGCATCTCGATTGAAGTAGTAATTCCCCGATAACTTGTGAGCCGGGCCTCCAGGGAGCTTCGCGGTCGGAGGATCTCGAGGGGCCTGATACTGCACGTACCGATTCTGGTCATTCGGTTTTCTCTGTCGACAAGAAGAGACCTCGGTTTCAATCTCTGACAAAGCGGTGAACTCATTTCCTATGTCGCGCGTGCTGTCAATCGACTCTGTTCAGCCCTGGATGGGGTCGAGCGCCCACCAACGAGTTCTAGAAGTTTGTGCTCAGAAGATGTCATGTCTGACCTCCAACGTACGATTCAATGGTATCGCGCTCAAGCACTCAAAGCTTCACTTACGCCCAGCAACCATGCCCTGAATGTTTTTATGACCTGTGTCGCCTGTCGTGGCTCGACTTTAGTCATTTCGTCTGTTTCTCAGTAATTTCCGCGTATTGTATGGCCCAGTTCTCGGAGAAGGAACTTGGAGTTCCGATGCTGGTGGTAAACAGGGACAAGACAGACGGGCAGAGGGTAGAGCATCCAGCTGTTTCGATTGTGAGCGTCGAAACGAAACCACTCATTACCGTGCGGGACACGCTATAGGAAAACGAGGCTGCTTCGAGGTTGGCCAGCCCTCCTTTCTTCGGCGGATGTCCGATATATTTTGGGCTCGCCACTGCCAAACCCGAAAAGAGGGAAGGGGGATCGTGAGTTTCCTTTTCGACGATTTTCCGTCAAGTTGGACGGCAAATAATTTTGAATTCGCGTCGCCTAGCTCAGCGGAAGGTGAGTGTCGGTCCTAATAGTCGACCCCGGGGTCCTGCGTGCACGCTCTGCGCGTTCCAGCTGCTGGGATCTCCAGAGACATCCGCTCTTCCTCTCCGACTTCGTCTCCAAGTGTGCTGCTTCATCTCTGTGTAATCGAGTGCATGTGATTCGTTTGTAATTTGTGCTTCTAATAACGTGAGTTCGCCGCTGTGTTGTAACGAGCATTCACGAGGAGCAATCCGAGCCCATCATGCTGCGAGTGAAGTCTAATCAAAGGGGGAGCGATTCTCCGTCTCGTGCTTAGGAAAAATTTTGTTCTCCCAGAACAGGCTTCACGAATAATGTTGCATCTTAATTCGCGAGAGATTCGTTTTTGGAAGCCCATTTTCCCTCAAAGTATATTCGGTTTTCTGACGTAGGGAGCAGGCTGGCACTTCGATCCTGGAGCTTCCTACAATTCAAGGGGAAGTGTAGAGGTGTCTCCGGTCGCTGATAGTTTCTCCAATCTCGAGAAGATCGCACTAGCGCGATGCTTCAATGTCGTGTGTCTCATGTCCGCTCATTGCTGCGAATATTCCTTCTCAAGTGGCGCGACATCGCACAACACCCGTATCGGTCTTTGAAGTTTGAAACAAGTCGTCGGCAGAACCGCTCTTTGTATATCTAGCACCGCATCGTACCGCCTCCTCTTCAAATATGTATGATTTTGATTTTCGGACGAGTTCCTACACCCCACACCTAGCCCCGCTCTCCATCTCAACCGATGGTTGTCCGATGAGCTGTGACTTCTTGGAGAAAATCTCTGCCAAGAAGTTCCCATCGATAGAAAATGCTGAAGCGGGCAGGAACGCCTGCCAAGTCGATCTCTTTCACCAAACGCCCCACATGTCCTCTGTTCGCTGGTAATCCCTAGGCGCCAGGGATAATCGCGGCTCGGGTTCGAACCACCCCTCCCCCGCCCCTCTCGATTTATCTGAAGATTATCGGGAAAACGGAAAAGAGCCGAGACTTTCGAGGTCAGTTGTTCTGACAGCTCCAAGAACAGAGATGGCAGAAGATGTGGCAGAAGCTGAAAAAAACCGGCTGACTTCGTCTGCTTCGCACGTTTCTGTCGGCCGGAGTCATCAACGAAAGCGACGACGGCGGCGACGTCGTTGTTGACGGCTTCCTCCTGTCCAATGTTTCGGTCGTCGGCGGGCAGACCTTTCCACGTCAGACGGACGGAGGGCGCGTCCGGCTGTTCTGCTTGGAGTTATCACGCTCAGTACCGGGAGCGTCATAGGATCGATGTTGCTTTGATGACAGCCGACAAGGAGTTCTGCGGTGCGCGATCGAAATTCCCCACGTGAATCTACCCGTCCGTCTCAGAGAGCGCGTCCGCTGGCTAATTGTGCTGATCATTGAAGCGGGAAGGGAGCCCCCATCTCGATTAAGCGCGATTCTCTCTTTCTCATCCTGATTCAGGAAGTATGGCAGACGATGGAATTTTCGATGAACAAGCTGATGATAGAAAGCTTGCGGACAAGGAGTTTACCCGGAACGAGGAGGCTTCGGCAACCGAAGGCACTCGCGAAGGTCTCACCGACGGGAAAGACAAAGCCTTACAGCAGGGTTTTGATTCCGGTTTCAAACAGGTGAGTTTGAGTTGGACTGGAATTTCGATTCCGAAACCGAGGCCGATTACCGATGGGGAATCGGAACATGGCTCTAGGAATTCCGCTAGCTGATTGAGAATGCTCGCCGGAGAGAACGAATAGATTCTCTCAGCGGCTGTAGTACTTCTCGCATCGCGGGGCGAGACGGAGCTCGCTCGCCTCCTGGTGAACGGACAGCCAAGCAAATGATCTCCTCGATGATTTTCGGTTGGAGTCTTGGAATTCCACTAATCGCCTGTTTTTGGTCACACAGGGCTTCCAACTGGTAGAGAATATTTCAATATGGAGAGGTTTCGTGCAGGGTCTTAGTACTTCGATCAAGAAACTCGACAGCGGTCAGGAAGAGAAAATTCAGCTTTACGCCCTCTACGGGAAGTTGCTCGAGTTCGAGCAGAAAGCCATCAACAGCGAAGCTCCTCTCGAGGAGATCCGGGGTAGCATGGAAGAGGTCAAAAAGGATATCGCGCGTGTGCTTCATACACTCGGCATGGCCCATTTGCTGGACACGATGACTGACCTCTGAATACGAACAATCAGCATCACGACGACAAACGGCGTAGCTCAACACTGTACCTCATCATAGGAAAACCTACTTGATGCTGGCGTCGTCGGTTCCGATATGTTCCCTACCCGTGGCGAAACAAGGCACAACGGATGCAGAATGATGGTTTCGGAAATGACGTCGCTGTGTTAGGACAGCGGTCGAGTCTCGCGAGGATGAAGCTCTCAGACCCTGTTGTATGTAGATACACGATGCTACACAACCTACAAAGTATTTCGTCGATTCTGTGGGCAACGATGGTCCGCAAGCGGTCGCGATCATTGGCCTCTGAGTCCAATGACTCCTAGCCTAAGCAATTATTCAACCTTCCGCCGAAGCCCACAACTCCATGGCAGCGGACCCGTGCGGAAGCTGCGAAATCAGCTCAAGGTGCTATACTTTGTCTCCGACTGCGATGGAACTCGCTCATTGTCGGTATCGATTCTCCTCCAGAGATATGAGGAAGAATTACATTCTCGAGCGCCATGCCCATGCACGACGCAGGATGAAGAGTTCACCAAAGTATGTGAGAATGAATGCCAAAGGAAAGCGGAGCAGGACTCTTCGATTCGGATAATTCCTTTCAAAAACCAAAACTGCGTTGCCTACCAAAAGTATTGCAAAGCGCGAGTACCCGCGCCGATTCCGGCGTGACGAGAGCTTTAGGAGAGATTTCTCATACAGGATTTCGAGCGAGGTCTGAACGATCAAGGGTTGATTCTCGGTCGGCGAGCGTACGCTTCACTGGATACGAGGGCATGCTCAATATTATAAGCTCATCATTGCTTACATGAAACTGCTATGACAGGAACATCTCTATCTATTTGCCTTCGAACTTTTCTCCCAACGAGTATTGTTGATATGCAGCAATATACTTATATGACCTTCCATGTACTTCTTCAACTATCACTGTAGCGGCTTTGAACCATCTCGGCCAGCAATCTTCCGAGAGTTTGTCTGAGCGGTCGAGAAATCGATCATATTCGATAAAACACGATGTATGAGCGATTCCAGATGTGGGGCTCAATTCTTGACGCTATCGACCGAGCATACGCCGCGACGGATAGGTGTAACCCTGCAATTTTCTGATTGATGTTGAGTCTGCGGCTAGCTTTAATATTTGAAACCGTTAGTCTTGAGAAGACGAGTGAAAATTCGATGACGGTCGATCCCGCATCGGATCGACCTCCGAACAACTTGCACTGTCTTGTGATACCCTTCCTGACACACAACTGCCACCGAGCAAGGAACCCACTCATCCCACCCTGAATAGGTTAATGAAGCACGATGAACTAAACCCACTTATATAATTCACCCGTCGACGACAAGAGCTCGATGCATTGCGATCATTGTTAGATCAAGAACGATGAATAAATAATTGACCGTTAACAATTTTCTATATCAAGAATTGAGTGTTCTTTGATTCCACGGATGCTTGTAACTCAAGCTCGTCTCTCCAGAACTACACGTCAGGAGAGTTTGAATGGACCTCTGTCGGGAAAAAATCCACGTCGCTCGGGCACGGGTTGATTCGCTCAGCGGGTCTAAAAATAATATTCCACATCCAGCTGTAACATTGCGTGATGCTAACAAGGGAAATGCGCGATAGTTTCGTGCCTCGTTTTTGATCATCAGAAGATCACTCCTGTTCACCACTTGATCGTCTGGAGTGTGGACGCGTCTGATGTGATTATCGAGAGAAGCTCACTCCGTCGGTAGCTGAGCGGAAACCTGGCGAATTATCGGAAATAGGGCCGTGTTGAATGAGCTCCTAGTGACCCGCGAGCGCAGTTCCGAGTTTTGGTGACGTAGTACTACGATAAACAGAGCTTCTGACTCCTGACTCAATTGAACACCATCAACTTCTAACAGGTGAATCGCGATCATCTTATGATAGCGACTGTGATTATTCAATTTGATAGCCACAATGCTCGCGCGGATCTCCAGATTTCTCCACAGAATCGGCTCCTTGCTTTCTTTCTTGACGTTTCCTGGAGCGAGACTTCCGACCGGACACATTGCGAGCCAAAGAGCGGATCTCGATTTCCCTCCGCGATTTCCCATTCATCCGATCTCTCCTGTGGTACAAGCTGACCCGCTATCCTCGCCGGAGTTTGCTTTCGCTCTCCTGCAACTCAATACGGAAAACTCGAAAATTGGAAAATAAGAGATGTTGAATGACTCCCCCCGTAGTGTCTGGGGGAAATCTCAGGGATTCGGTACCATGATCTAGAATCTAGTTTATAGCTGCCACCGATCGCTTGTTCGACTTTGGGCGTTAGGCACATATTGCGCGGATAAAATGCCGGCTGCCTTTCAATTAGAATCGATTGGAACCGTCTCGGTATCACCGAAGTTTCCCGCATCGGTATTTCGCAGTTTCTGTCCCGAGGACTCACGAAACCAATTTTCGGCGATGAAGCTGTACAGGAAAGGTGGCGAAGCTGCATTCTTTTGGGAATAGAAGGCCAGAACAAGTATAGTGTATTCCTTAACAAATGGCTGTTGCATGACGCTCTCATTGAATGGATCTAATACCCCCTCATCGTAGTCGTGCGGCGAGGCTTACATGTCGGGGACTTCCGTGGTGAGTGATAGCTGTGTATATGTATGTCATCGTCGGAGGGATTTTTGTTTGAGATCGTCTCCCTTCCAAGGTGTCCGAAGCTCTACGACCTGCGTCCCTCCACTCACACGGAGTTTCAGCGGATGAAGTACGATAATCCATGAAGGTTCAGCTTCCTTAATCGATGATTCATATTTCCCAGGTCTCGCTCATGGGGTTCTACCGGCGCTATGGACGTCACATTCTTCGTGGTTTGGCAATTGTCTATTTGGCCTTCCCGGCAGTATTCTTCTATTCGTTACGCTTCAGACAGATCATGATTTTCGGAGCCTTTTTGACTTGGCCCTTCCACGATTACACAAAACCAAACGAATATGGCCTGCCCCACTCGAAGAATTTCTACGTGAACAGCGTAAGTAGACCTCTGCTACGAGGTCGTGGATTCCATCCAAGTCTGAATTGAGTCGATATTTGATACTGCATCGCTGATTGCTTGTCCCTCCATGGAAATTTTTCAAAGGTGGGGGACATCCGACTGGGAGTGTGGTATATACCCCCCAAAGGGATCTGGGAGAAGTTATCGTCACAGAACAGCGGTCGAGAACCTCAACCTTGGATGCTGGACGACAATCGGCCCGTGATCATTTACTACCATGGACACGGCCAGTGTCGGGCTTGTGATTATAGAGTCGGTCTCTATAAAACTCTCACTCAGAGCGAGGAACTCGACGCTCACTTGTTCACTTTCGACTACCGAGGTTTCGGCGATTCCACTCAGGTAAGCTCAAATCATCTACCCGAAAGCATCCGAGGAGGAGAGCACTATTCCAGCCTACCGGATTTTTTCTAGAAGGAGAAGACTCAGATGGTCTGATCCGATTTTCATCGTAAAGGTTCTGCCAGACCGGGAAGGATTGCTTCATGATTCGACTGTGATGTTCGATTACGTCCGGAAACTGATCAAAAAGAACGATTCCCGCATATTGGTGTGGGGTCACTCCCTGGGCACTGGAGTGGCAGTTCAGCTGATTGAAGCCTTCACGGAATTACACCGAAGTCCGATGGGCGTGGTGCTCGAAGCGCCTTTCAACTCGCTCAGTGAAGCTGCTTCCAAATGGCCGATCTCCATGCCTTACCGTGCGCTTCCGTTTATGCAGAAAGGTATCCGTGAGCGTCGCGTCTTTTCCTTCTAGGCTAGCACAGAATGGTGTGAAATCGAACTAATTCGACTTTTTTTTCGCAGTGGTGGAAAGCGTCACGAATAAGCTCAGAGACGACGATGAAACCTTCTATGAGACCGAGCAGCTCGCCCCTTCTGTCAATGTTCCATTGTTGATGATCCATTCTACGGATGATGCTCTGGTGCCCTATGAGCTCGGTCAGAAACTGCTCAGGACCCTGCGAGTCCTTGCCAAGGGTCCCATACACTTCTATCAAGCGGACGACTCGTACAGTCTTGGACACCGTTATATCTTCAGAGACCCTAAGGTCAAAGAAGTGGTCGCTGACTTCATTCGGCGCTACGGTAACGTCAGTATGCCCGCCCCGAAAGAGTCTGCTGGTCGCCTTGAAGAGTCCTCAGCAAGCGGAATGCGAGACGCGGAACCCTCCGCGAACATCGAAGATGGAGCAGATTCAGCAACAGTTGGCGATGAAGGTTTTGAAACGAGCGAAGGGGCTCCGGGGAAAAGCATCGAAAGTCACGATATACCCGGAGACGAATTGTGATTCACGTGTGATTGCTCAATGTTCCCCGATAAGTGAGCCGCGGGCGAGCTCGAACGAGCCCCTTGGCTGCTTCGGGCCGAAACTTAGATTCTCTGAACGCTAGTTCCGTTGGAGCGAGAGGTCCACCGTTCTTGGAGCTCAAAATGAATTTCACTCCCATGATCCCGAAGATTTGTTCTCGAAACCGCCGAATAAGGATTCCGGGAGCTCTGACCAATAACATACCACGAAGTGTTCATTTGTTATCAGTCAGGAGTATTTTTGTTTTCGTTCAAGGGCGGAATGATTCCGGGAAGACCGCTGTGATCCTCCGTGATTTCCCCTTATTAAGTTGGAGAATGATGCTGATGATTGATAAAGGAGCGTTCCGTCATGGAAATCTGTAGGACGCGGCTCTTTCATTGCGCACGTAGAATTCCACCAACTCCTTAGTTGGTGACGCTTTGAGGATAGCTCATTGTCAGGGTTAAGGAATTTTGCTCGAGAGCCTCATTCAGTTCGCTGAAAACTGTCCCGACCAAGGAGCTGATAAACTGAATGCTCGACGATACAGACTATGCTGGAAATTTTGTCGAGACATCTCCGTTTTTTTCGGAAACCGTGCCCGCTGAAGGGCGCGTGCCCCCTCCCGCCCCCTACTTGAGCCACCGCTATAAACTCATCAGGTTCCGAAGGAATATTGCCTCTGAGGTGCTTGATGACGATAGCATCGATGAGGCGAGAAATGTCGATGAGTCTACCATGCACTCGAGCACTGATGTCCCCTCGCATAGCGATGGAGCACCCCGAAACAGCTATCAACCAGGTTTTCCATTCGAATCCCTATGGCCCCTATGGGTTAATCCCCATCGAGATTTTTGCCAATTACGCTGCTGGCCCCGAGGCGTGGGTGATCTTCGTCTGTCGAACGGGCCGATTTATAGGCTTCCTTATTCCAGCCACAATCTGTGGATTTCATAATTAATCCGAAGGGTGCATTTCGATTTCTCGATGTTAAGTCTTGGAGCGTTCCACACTCACTGCCTCTTATTCACGGTAGATTCCGATCTGACTTGTCGTGTGGAATGCTCTCTACAATCTGAAATTTCTCCGCGACGATTGGAACAAGCACAGTGAATGACTCACTGGACTCGATACCCTAATCCAGACACAATTGAGCAATCGCTTAGAGAAATACTAAAACACGCGGCGAACGAGTTTTCAGATGTCGAGACTAGCTGTCTCAATAATTGGGTGACTCCTAATGGGCTCCTTCGCGGTCGACTATTTTCGGAAGCAGCATTCTTCGCACAAGATTGAGCGACGGGGCTCTCCGGAGATTGACGAGCGGCTGGAAACCACAAGGAAAACATGAGCGAGATCTTGTTGAAAGACAAAGATTCGAGCCCAGCGGAACGGATCGCTGAAAAGGAACAAGCTTTGATGTAACCCTTTTGGAATGACTCGTAGTCCCGTATCGTTCGAACAAGATTCTCTCTAAGATGTCTCCCGAATCTCGGTGAGCAAAGCGACGATTTCCGACACCCATTCCGCGACATTCCGGAAATCGTACGGATCGGAAGACCTCCGGGAGGAATCATAGCGGAACTTTGTCTGAGCCATACTAAACTTGTCTGGAGCCGAAGCTGAACCGAGGCAATATACTGATCGCTCCTCCCAGATGCCGCCTCTTCAGCTGAAGGTCCGTCGAATCGATCTATACAGCACGGCTGTGAAGCTTGTCGTCAATCAGTTCGGGCGGCACCCTCTTTCCAGTCTCTATTCACCCCTCCCGCGGATAAGTGTTGAATTGGCGACAATATGGCGGAGGCGCTTGGCAGTTGACGCTACCCGATTAAGCCTGACCCCAACGATATTCATCTTCAGATTCCGTCCCTAGCGGTTGGTCGACCGATGTTGTTGTGAATATTGTGGCTGGCGAAGGCTCTTTAGGATTCAAAGCGTGTAATTGTGGCTGGCCAATTCGCTGCCAGCTCCGCTTGTTTATACATAGGGTTGGAGTGACCGAGGCACAGTTTGCAAACTTGCCGATGCGATAGCTATTGCCGAACGAAGCGCTTCTAGTTTTAGATTACCTTTCGGTCTTCTCGATTATTAAACGGTAGCGGAGTTGTTTAAAATGACTTATCCCTTTCATTGCATGAATGTGACTCCATGAACCTGCCTGAAAATGTCTGCCCGCAGCGAAGAGATTCGCCCTTTCCGATCTGAAGGAAGGCCAAGCGCTGCAAGGTGATTTCGGGAGAGACTGGTGGATTCCAGCTCCGGATCAAATACGATTCCTGCTGCTAGGGTCGCGGGGACTTGGGGAAAGTTTCTTAATCGGGGAACTTGCCGAATGCAATTGCTCCAAGATGGGTTCGAGCGTCGACAGAATCCCCAAACCGGAACGGATGTCGGATAGGATCCCGTTCCGCTCCGATTCCGTCTGCTGCGTCTGTCCCCATGAACCCTTCCCTCAGAGTTGATTTCCGGAAATTCCAACGAGCCTCTCGGGGGATGTCCGAAACACAACCAAGCGTCGATCGCCACCTTCCAATGAGCTCTGGTTTCATCGCACATCCACGAGGGTCCCAGAGGAGGGCGCTCCAATGGCAACTCCTGCTTGGATCGGGGGTCGCCTCGAACACTGCTCCATTTTATCCCGATTGGTTACATCTTCTATTCTTGAAGTGAACATTACCTTGATATTGACCTCGCCTTTGCCCAGATAGGGTGTGGCTACCAGTCTCGTAACAGCTGACTGGCGGGCGTGCTGGCGAAAATACTACGAACAGACTACAAGGCGCCGAACACCCGCTGCTGCCTAGATAACATATTAACAGCGAAGAAATGTGTCGTCTCGCGCCTACAATCCGCTCGGGACTCGGTTCCAGCGCCCGCTCCTAAAATGCCGATCGGCGCATCGACAACCATTGTTTCAAGTCGAGCTCGCGGCCCCGATAGGGACGAAAGCCTTCCTTCAGTTGCTGTCACTTCATGCCATAACTTCGGGAGGAAATCCTCCGGAAGACGACCCTATGCGTTGACGCGTGTGTATGTGCGTGTCTTGGTGAATGAGTGTCGAGCAGCCAAACGCTCGCCGGCCTGCACCCCTCCAATAGTCCAGAGGCGGCTCCCTGGAGTCCCGTTTTTGTTCCCCGCAGAGAGTCAAACGACTGCGGAATTCCTACTTGTCCTCGGCATCAGTTTATTGCACCTAGCAGGCCGCTGGCTTCGCTCTGAAGAAGACAGCATGAGCAGCGAACAAAATTCTCTGCGGAGCAAAGAAATTGAATGCTATCCGAATTCGTTCTCAGCACACTCGAAATCGATTTCCTCGGCGAAAATCTCTTAATTGTTCGAAGGATAGCCTCGCTCGTTCGAAAAATGCATGTCTGTATTTTTATTCGTTGCATGTGGCAAGCGATCCAGGACTCCGGTGGTAGATAAGAACTCATGGGGATACAGCTCACAGACTGTACATCATGTACGCCGATATTTCGGCAGTCCTGAGGTAGTAGGTATCATATTCATGTAGGCCAGCGGTTCTCAAACTTTTCTCCCCCACGTCTCCCCTAAGCCTTTTGAGGGGCGCTCGCGTCTCCCAAGGAGATCACCGTATATCTGAGAATGTGAAGTTTCGACCTGAACATGTCACAGTGCCGTTTTCTTCATGGAATATGGCTCTCTCGATAAATCGTAAAATGATTAAAGACTTATTGTAGACTAGCAGTGAGCTGAGTGACCTCTCTGAGACGAAAAAATGGTCGGTTGGGAATTCTAGGGATCCTCCGCGTCTCCCCTAAACTTCTCCCACGTCTCCCCCGGGAGACGCCTCCCCCTAGTTTGAGAAGCGCTGATGTATGCGATGAGTTTTTGGCGAGTATGCCCTATTGTCAAGCTCGGCGGAACGCTCAGAAGAGATCGCTCTGGAGCCTTAGGCACAGCACCCGATAATTCAAGATTACTTCTGGGAGCCAGATTCCCCTGTTCTCATCCTCGATATTGACTGAAATGTATCATCGGAGCCGATGAGGGGTCACGGCAGCCAGACAGGCGAACCAGTGGATCGCTGCCACGGGTCTGAACCATTCAATGACTCTGGCGCTCTAGTCCCAGGTTGGCTCGAGAAATTCACGAGAATCAGCCCGATGAGATGATTGAACATTGAACGTTTGTCTGGAAATACCAACTCGAAAAGTTTCAGCGAAAACCCTTCCTCAATTCTTCCGACATGCTCCCCAGGCGAAGTCCTGGCTCGAAACGTCCGATTCGCAATCAATCGATCAATCAGCGCAGACGCTCCTTGGAAGTCGATAAGTTGCTGGAGCGGAATTTCACAAAATTCGGGGAAGCCGAGAAATCGCTCGAAAAACTTGACGATCCTTACCAATGACGGAATGTCTGACGCTCTTTTCCCATTAGGTATTCAGCGGGTGCCCGATTCTGGTTGACCGAATGCCGGGGCAAACTCTCTTGGCTTCGGTCGACCGAATTGCACCACCAAGCCACGCGCAACAGGCCCTTTTGTCCCTTCGTTCACGGGACTGGAGGGAGCGACGAAAAAGAAACGCTCCGGATGAAACCTAACCAAAATGCAGCTGCTTTCGAGCTCCGCCCAGAAAGAGCCCGGGACCCCGAGCTCTCGGCCATCATGGTTCTTGTCTGCGAATATCAGGTAAGAATTGGAGTCATGATGCCGGTATGTTCCATTTGTCGTATGGAAATCAATAGTCTGAGCCCATCCAGCCGGAGGACGGGGTTTGTTGACGATTTTTAATTTGTCAAAAAACGTGGAGCGCTCCCCTCCTCGTTTGGACACCTGTTGCCCTTTCTCAGCTAGGCGAACTGCCAGCGCACCCTGGCGGCTGGCGCTGCGCGAACACAATTTTACCCAGTGCCTTAGTCAGTTCTCCTGATCGGATCGGAGCGGGCGACAAGAGTGCGCGTGTGCAACAAGCAAGCCGCCGCCGATTCGAATTTTGGCCGAAGAGGAACCATTCCAGCGAGCCTCTGTC